AATCTACTAAAAATGTGAATTTTAGTGCTGAACCAAATCGAGATTTAATATCATGTCTAATGTCTTCATATAGAAAATAGACCAAATGTCTGAATTTTGTGTAGTGAAAAACATGCAATGTCAGACTACTCAAATATCACTAAAGTTTAAAGTTGAATAAGCTTATGGTTCAACTCCTTTAAAAATATGGTCTATAAACTTAATTCATATAACGAGTATTTAACTTCTAATGTCTGCATGTGGTATTACAGATGGATTTGCGTGGTGATGTATCCGGTTTCTTATCATCACACCCACAATTTCCACTCATGTCCCTTCACCATTTCGACATGGTGGAACCAATATTTCCGTCCATGGATCGTGCCGAGTCGACGAGACACCTCATGAAGGCGGCCGAGGTCGAACAGTCTCGGATGATGCAACAAACCATCTGCCAAAACAGGCAAAGTAACTGGACCTTTTCCATTTCTTGGGGCTATGCTGCACATATATACGAGAGAATTATGCCACGAAGTTATTTACAATACCCCATTGAAACCTTTAAAACATGGGGAAGGAGTCCAAGGCCACCATATTATATGTTCAACACCAGAAGACCTTCTAATGATCCTTGTGAAGCACCGCATCTTTTCTTTTTTGAATCTATAGAAAAAACCCCAAAAAATGAGATCTTTACCAGTTTTTCAAGAGCATGGCCACGGGGGCTGCTGGCTTGTTCATCAACAGGAAATCATTCTGCAGAAATTATTTCCAAAATTAATGTCTTCTCACCAGCAACAAAGCACAGTGAGGTATGTTTTTAAACCTCAACTAGATGTACATGGTTTTTATTTTTTCATTTTCCCAAAGATTTTGTCTCAACTCTGAATGTTTTGCTCAGATAGAAAAGTCTTATTTCTAATATATTATATCTATGAGTAATGTTATTCATAGTGAAAACTACGATAGTCGTCCTGCGTGGCACACACAACACATTAAATAACAAATTGTCATGTATATACCACATAGGGTAACTACCGATAGTTTTCACTATGAATAGCATTATTTTATATTTAGTCACGACTATTCATGTTACCTACGTACTCTTATTAACCCTGAGAAGAAAAATGGACATTACGATGGATACTCTTATTTAGTCACGACTATCGATCCCTGCATGGTACACACGACTCATCAAATAACAAATTGTCATGTGTATGTCATGTAGGGTGACTACCGATCGTTTTCACTATGAATAACATTATTCTATATTTAGTCACGACTATTCATGTTACCTACGTACTCTTATTAATCTTGGAAAAAAAAAATGGACATTAGGATGGATATACTCTTGCTTTCGATATAAACACATTTATATAGATTCAAACATCTTGTTTTCTAATTATTATTTTTCTTCCTCAGATTGGTCGAAGTGAATGCTGTGACGTTGTTGGAATAGACGGAACCAAAGTGGATGTTAAATTTAGAGAGTGCATGACGGATGAGATCATTGCTTAGGTATACATTATTATTATGTTTCATTAAAAATAAAAAATAAAAAATGTTGTGCATTACAAGGATGAGTTTTAAGTATTTACTGTACATGTGTATATTGTGTATTCTTAACTCAATAAATTCAATGCCTTAGAATCATTTTTCTTTTAATTAAATTTTTTTTTCTCAAATAAATTCGTTTACCTAGCAACAAATTAAATAAAACTGGACCACGTAAGACATCCCTAGGTCTAGAAGTTTTCAAACGAGGCGTGTAAATTGTAAACTTAAATATCAAAAATTATATGGTGGCTTCAAAAATTTCAAAAGGTACTTTTATCCACGTTACTCACTACAACAAAAATAGTCATTAACAACATTTAAAAGACAACATTTGTTGATAGTGAATGTTGCCATTGGTTAATATAAATGAGTTTTAGCAATATTTTTTAAAAAAATGTTACGGTAGACCATTTTTCGCAACGTTTATTGAGTGTTACAGAAGGTGTTACCTTTAGCAACGTTTACAAAACGTTGCGAAAGGTTCTTCCCTTTTATAAACATTGCAAAAGGCCTACGGCAACATTTTTTGAACGTTGCCGTAGACTGTTTTTGTTGTAGTGACTACTTTAAATAATTTATATTATCTAAAAAAAATGCTATAATTTGATTTATATACATATAGAGAATAAATCGAAGACGGGTAATTGCAAATACGATCCAACTACGTATCGCATTTTCCCTCTAAATCCTATACATAGAATTATAGTAATATTATATTTTTACAAAACTTGGATAGTAGACTTACAAACTGAAATGTGGGCACGAGGGGTACATACAACTAATTAATTAAATTCTGTTTAAAAAAATAAAGCATGGTATCTATATCTAATAAAGTTTGATCATTTTACGTAATAGGACTAATATTTTCTTAAGAACTGGCAAGAAAATTCGTAATCGTTTTGAAAACCATAAAGTAAGAATGAGTACTAACTATTTAGCCCACTAAAGGCAGGGTTAGGCAGATGCTTAAATTAAGTTAGAAAAAAACTCAATGTACTATACCTGCAACGAATATTATGAAATTCAATTTTTTACAAGTCTTATTTGTTATTTTCTATTAATATTAATCACCAAATTGTGTCATCGGACGTATTTGAAGTAACGACTTCGGTGTTCATATGTAGATTAGGTATGATAAGCGTGCGCAAAGTGTGTGTAGAAGGTTCTCGAAAAAAAGCCTAATTTATATCGTATAGAGGTTCGAATTTAGAGACACATTTAGGTGACTTGACAAGACGCTTATTAGTTATTGAAAGTAACATACAATGATCGTCACGTGTTTGACGATGTAGTTGGTAACGAAGTTAACGGTGAAAATAGCCTCCTTGAATCCTTTGTTTGTTTTTCTTTTTCCTTTTGTGGTAATTTTGGAGGTAATTTCTATAATCTCTATGTAGGAGTGAATTTCAGTTAATGCTCTAATCGAGCAACCCATGGATATAAATCTCATACCGTATTATAAATTAGTATGTGGGTGACTCTTTATGGAGACGTTACCATTGGAAGTGCTCTCTGGTAGTCACAAGGAAATCTTCAAGTTCTAACTTTCGACTCTATGTGTTGTTTAATTGTACGTTTTATTAGCTACTAGGTGCAAGCAACGTGCAATGCACGTTTGCCTAGTTTATATTTAATAGTTTTGTTTAATAATTAATTTGTATTTAATT